AATATCAAGCTCGGGGTATGTATTCCGGATCATCCACCAGCTTAGTTTAAAGTCCTTTCTGTACGAGTCCACCATCAGGTCATCAAAGCACGGCGAGGCGATGTATTCATCGACGACCTTCTTCTTGGCGTCCTCAATGCCTTGAGAAAAGATCTGTGTCCTCTCCCTGATATCCTCTTGAAGGAATTCAACCTGATGGTGCAAATCCAGCCTTAGGTCCGCCATGTGCTTCACCACAACTCCCATGGCCTCGGCATCTCTCTGAGACCTCGCCTGCCTGGCCTGTGCAGCGCGAGCAGCCGCCTCAGCAGCTTGGGAAGCCGCCTCGGCAGCACAAAAAGCCTCTTCGGCAGCTCGCGCCTGCCTCAAGCTCCTTTCCACTTGGGCTGCCAAGGCATGGATAGAAGAATTCACCTACCAAAAGGGAAAAGCAAAATGATCAAAAGAACAACAACAAGAAGGATAAAAGCAAAGAGCCCGACAAGAAATCTGACTTACCACCATGGCATGAGTGGCAGCACGACAAGCTACCTGGTTCAAAGGAAGCTCAGACCATGCCGCGACCTCCTCAGGATAGATGGCCTCCCTACTCTTCTAAAGAGCGTGGTTCGGGAACAACATGCTCCTGAACTTGCCTTGGGCCCCCGAGCCTGAGGGCCCAGCTCGTGTGTAAGCGGACTCAGAGTAAGCGGGAGCCCCCATGTAAGTAGCCTCGGCATAAGGGGCCCCTGCTGCTTCATGAACTGCAGGGGCCATCTCGGGCTCCCTGGGCGGATCCACAGACGGGTAGTCTGGTACTTCGGGCTCCGCGTCTTGGGGCGGCTCAGCACGAGTTTGTTTGGCAACTCGCTTCCTCCTCTTCATGCCATGAAACAGGTGCCCACTACGAGTCCTCTCTAAGTCCATCACACTTGCAAAATGAGCTCGGCATCAGGAAAAAACGAAAGAAACAGAGCAAAACAAAAGACAAACCTGAGTAAGGAACCTACCCGAACTCAGACCGGCCTTAATGAGCTTGGCCTCCGACAGATAATGATGGCATTTTAGCCCAAGTCGTGCCCATTGTCGGAGGCCCTTCGCCGTCTCCTTATCAAGCGTAACGCCGGAGTCAGGAGCGGCCATCCCCCACCCGGTTTGAAATGGCCACCCCAATGCACTTCGCACCCCAAAGTAGTCCCGCTTCCACGCCGGGACCTTGTTGGGAGGTTCATGTAAAAGCTTAAAACCCGGGCGAGGAGATAGGTAATACGCCCGGGAAGGGGACCCGCTTGCTTCTTAAGCATTAAAATGGAAGAGAAGATCTCCAAGTCTAAAGGAAAGCCCTGTTCGCAAAATATGGAGATTGTCTCCACCAAGTTACGAATGGAGTTCAGGTGAAGCTGGCCTACACTAACGCCGAAGTGGTTCATTACCTCGACAAGGAGGGGGTGGAAAGGCAGGTGCAACCCTGTAGCGAGCTGCTCCCGGAATATCACGATCTCATTAGGACCGTGTTCCCAAGGGAAACTACCCGAAGGTATGAAGTAGGCGTACTCCTCAGGCAAGTTGAACTGGGTAATAAGGGATTGAAGCCCCTCAGGCATCATGGTCGAGGGTCCAAACTTGTCCAACGTTTGACCTCGACGAGAGGTGGACGCCAAACTACCCGAGGCGACTCGGCCTATGGGTTTGAACTCTTCCTCGAGCTCTACCTCCGGTTCGCTAGGACCATCGGGGGATGCAACTCGGTTTGTGGAACCTGCATCGGACCCCCTTGAAGAACTGTCTGAGCTATCCGAGCTAGACAACGGGAGGAGAAGATAGATTCCAGGAAAATACTCACCCGGAAAAAGGCTTGAACGGACTACGGGAACTTGAACACGAGCTAAAACCTTGAATGCGAACTAAAAGGCTTGGATGCAAGCTGAAACTTGGACGCGAGTTCAAGAAGCAAAACGCAGAAGTGACAAAAGCGACTGGGGTCCCCCACTATTTATACCCACAGTGACCGAGAATCAACGGCTCAGATCAAAGCCAATCCGACGGCCCGCAGTCGCGCTGACCGCACGTCTCCTGAGACCGAGACGTGACTGGCCGCACATCCCTCGAAACTGAGCGCACATCTCCTCACATTAAAGACGGCAACGGCACGTTTTCAAATTTGAAAAGACGCCCACTGTCGCGTATCCCAGCGGCGCGCTTTTTGAATTTTGAAATACGGCGCACGCTATCACGTCTGTCAGCATTTGTAGGCAGATTGGCACGTTTCCGTCTTTTTGGCGCTCGAGAAACCCGAAAGTATCCTGATGACGCGCACCTTGCGCTATCAGTCAACCAATTCGAAGTACGGGACAAATCCACCGCCACCTCGCGAACTCCCCGCGCTAGGGCAAGACCCTTAGCACGAGGAGTGGGGGGCAATTGATGAAGGAAGATTTGGCCCGACCTCGTAGCCACTTAACACGTGGCAAAGGCAACAGCTCGCCAAGGCACGAGCTCCGAAAGGAGGAACCAGCGGTCCAAACTCCCTGAAAAGAGCCCGAACTCCTCGAAAGGAGTCCGAGCTCTCCCTTAGGCCCCGAGCCTTGCGAACACAAAGGGCAACAACCCGAACTGGCCTGCCCCATGGCAGTTCGGGCCACACCTTTATCCGAACTCAAGACTTCACCTCGCACACCACTCCAGCACTTCGCCTCCAGGACGCCGAATTAGACAAACCACACCGTACCTGACACCGAAAGAGTCCGTATTCAGGGGTGGCGCACCTGACTGACTTGGGATCTGACGCTTGACAGCCGCACTCCAACGGCCACCTACCACCGCCACTTGCCACCGCCATCTCCAGTTACAGAGATGGCTCCAACAAAGAGCAGTGGCGGTTTTGTCCCAGCAGAGGTGATGACACCCGAACTGGTAGAAGCACAGAAGTAATCATACCCGACCTGACAGAAGCATAGGAGTGAGTGCGCGAAGTGGTTATAAAAGGCTCTCTACCCCCTGAGGACAAGGTATGTGAACTTTGCGCCATCTGATTTTATCTTGCCTTTGAGAGAATACTAACTTGAGCTTCGGAGTGATCTCACTGGGTTCCTCCCCGGAGATTCCCCACTTTCTTCTCCCTTTCAGGCCCCCCTGTTGCTTCAGTCAAAGGCAAGATTGTTGACAGGTAGGACCGACTAAATTGCATATCATCAACGGACATTAGTTACCTGACATTTAAGTTCATCCAGAGGGTCCCTTGTCTTGTTAACAGATGTTGTTGGTTTGTATAGATATGAAAATTTAGTGTGTACTTGGAGTCACGCTGATCTACATAGCAGGCCATAAATTGTATCAACAAGAAGCAAGCCATTCCAATTTACAATTTCGAATACAAAGGCCCTGTTTGGCATCAATTCGTACAGTTATTTGATTTTTGTTTCTCTGAATGGGAATCACATTTGGTAGTACCCAATTTCTTTCAATCAATTCTCTACTGTTTGATAAACACAAATGTTTCATTTCTAACAAATATAAGTTTGGATTGAATTGCATTGCAATTTATTACATTTAAATCATTATCAAATACATGAAGAAAAGGAGAGCAATTCACGTGTTCAATTATTTCCGATTTTGTATATATTTATATATATGTTTGATGTTTTTATTAACCGGTGATACTTGAAGGTTTATCTTTGATTTGTTAGAAAATGGCTGGAAAGTTAAATTAAATGTATGATGAATACATATGTCATCTACGTAATAGTTTTCTGTTCTGTTTTTTCCTCATCATTGACTTCAGTGAACCGAGTTTGACACCCATCTTGGTATCAACCGATTAAATGCTTTTTTTTTTTTTTTTTTCAGGTGTTCAAGTGGGTTTGCAGTATTTCTACCAACAAAATGTGGGTTCGAAGTAATAGACTACATTTGTAACAGATCAAAGGGGAAGAATCATAGGCAGCCCCTTCCTGTAACGAGCGCGAGATAGATGTAGAACTCTGGATCGTGAGATTCAAACCTGTGAGGAAGGGGATGAAAAGAAAAACTGAGCATCAGCAAACACATCTTGGCTCGCTTTTCTTGTATGCAAGAAAGAAATATAGATGATATAAGTAAGATAACTCATTTTAGGGTTAACAATGTCATTTTCTACTGAAGATTAATTAAATCATTTATAAATTATAAGTAGTATTTTAATAAAATGTTAAATATAAGATATATTTTAATAAATCTATAAAATTATAAAAAGTACTATAATAAATAATCTTTTTTATTATTTAGCTTTTACTTAATAAATCTCGTATATAATATAAAATGTTGGGATGCTATGTGAATAGACGTAAACATAATTGTTATAAGCAGGAGATCCGAACTCCTTTCTATCCTATTTGGAATGAGAATCGGACAACCAATTTATACCACGAGAATCACTCATTCACTCCCGGCGAATCAGGCCAAGCGGGGCCTAATTATCTATAGATACCATTTGGTCTCGGTGTTTCTATACAAAGCGTGGATGTCAATTTTATGCCGCTCGACTCGAAAGTACCTCCTTTCCTTAGTCTAAAAGGTCCTCAAATAAATCTTTTGTGGAATGTGAACCATGGAGGAACCCATTTTTAGGACTCTACTTGGAATTTCACACTTATTAAATATTAATCGAGTGTTAGCGGGTTAATTCGGTTGGCTCCATGTATCCACATCCATTTTTTATTAATATCTGTCAAAGGAGCTTTGCGGACCCGGACCCAGACCCTCATTATCGGGTAACGGATTTTTTTGTGTAAAACTCCGTTCTCGTGGGAACCTGGACTCGAAGACTCGTAGACAACTATCATCAACTATCCAGCATCAATTCTATTATATTTATATTTTTATTTATCTAAAAAAAGAAGAATCTAATGGCTCTTAAATAATCTTACTGATGGAACCTTTTTTAAAAAAAAAAAAAAAAAAAAATTGATAGGCAATTCATCTGACTGATGGACCTGGGGTAGACAGTTTTAGGCTCTTAGCTTGGCAGCTGCCCAGCTCTCACGGTCATGTGCCCGAACGCCTTCCGGGCAGCTCCAAACTCCGAGAGACCAAGAACGCATCTCCCACTCCGATACTTAAAAACCATTTCCCCCCACTCCATAGATCGATCGACGCCACCACCTGCAAGGGGAAGGTGGCGCACGATAAGCTCGTATGCCTCTCCCGGCGTCTGAAAAGTAAAAAGTGCAAAGTTAAGACTTAAAAAAGAGCAAAAAAGGGTGAGATGGGTCAGAGACTCAGTTGCAGAGCGAGTTATGAACATGGGCTCTTCACTGCTGTTCAAGCTGGAGACTTGGAGAAAATTCATTCTTTGTTGGAGAGACACCCAAGTCTCTTGCATCAGGCCACCGTTTATGACAGGCACTCTGCACTTCATGTAGCTGCTGCACACGGTCGGATCGAGGTTGGTTATTAGTTCTGTTTTCATTTCCTCGTTATCTTGCTGGATTTTCTTCTATTAATTTTTTTTTTATTCGTGGATTTTTTATTATTTCTCTTTCTTTTTTTTTTTCTTTTCCGGTGGTGTGGCATAATGGTTGGCAGGTGCTTTCTTGGATTTTGGATCGATCTGTTCATCCCGATATCTTGAATCGTCATAAACAGGTAAGTTTGATCTCATGTTTGTGTGCCAAGAGGAGATTTTGTTTACTTATATTTTCGAATGCATGATCTTTTCGTTTTTTTCCCTTCTCTCTCTTCCTTCTTTGTTTGTATTTGCTTTTGTGTTCTTAAGTTTCTCTTTTGGTGATTGGTCTCTAGACTCCACTTATGTTGGCCGCAATGCATGGGAAGATCTCCTGCGTGGAAAAGCTGCTTCAATCAGGGGCCAATGTATGTATAAAAATTCAATCTTGTTAATTTCTTCTCTCCATTTTCATTTTTTTTTTCTTTCAATTTTCCTATTAAAATTTGAAGTATAGTGGAGAAAATTTGATCTGGTTTTCTTTAAATTTTATAGATTTTAATGTTTGATTCTCTTAACGGAAGAACCTGCTTGCACTATGCCGCGTACTACGGGCATTCCGACTGCCTGCAAGCTATTCTTGCTGCTGCCCAGATGACCCCTGTTGCCGATTCTTGGTGAGTAGTGTCATCTCGTTTTTCATTTCTAATCTTCCAGAGAAAATTGTTACCAAGGCTTGGTGGATCATGATTGCAAGTTTGTAGGATTCCATATGTTTGATTACTTTTGTGGCTGGGTTTAACGGCAGGGGATTTGCGCGATTTGTAAATGTTAGAGATGGTAAGGGAGCAACCCCATTGCACCTAGCAGCTCGGCAGAGACGGTCTGATTGTGTTCATATCTTGTTAGACAGAGGAGCACTTGTCTGTGCTTCAACGGGCGGATATGGGTAATAAACCCTTTTAACTTCTCCATTTCATCATGGTTTAACAATAATCGGCTCTGTCATTTATTGATCAAGTCCTAACTGCAGCTTCCTAGGGAGCAGTCCGCTTCATTTGGCAGCTCGGGGGGGTTCTTTGGATTGCGTCCGTGAATTGCTTGCGTGGGGAGCAGATCGGCTTCAAAGAGATTCATCTGGGTAGGCATTCATAAGTGATGAACGATGATGTTTGATCCTGGTTAGAAATATTGCTCAGTTCACTCTCGTAGTTAAGTCTAACTCAACATTGATGATTGGTGAAATAATTCTGGATTCATTCCTTCATCACCTTTCTGTGATCTATACCTAGATATGTTTGGTCCAAGAAATGCCTTTATAGGCATATTAAATGACAATTGCATCGTGGATTTAGACATAAAAAAGTGTACATATATATATTAGGAATTTTCAGATTTTCCCATGTTTGTGTTCTTGATCTTATTGTAGAGCCTTGCTTTATCTGATGAACCAATTTATAGATTTGAGTTTGTGAAGCTCATATCGATTGTGTATACCATATATTTCTGCAGGAGAATACCTTATATGGTTGCTCTTAAGTATAAGCACGGGGCATGTGCTGCCCTGCTGAACCCATCGTCAGCAGAGCCTCTTGTGTGGCCATCGCCTTTGAAGTTCATCAGCGAACTTAATCCAGAGGCAAAGGTCCTCTTGGAGAGGGCACTTATAGAAGCAAACGGGGAAAGGGAAAAAAGCATTTTGAAAGGGATGGCGTGCTCACTTCCATCGCCTTCATATTCTGATGTCAGTGTCGATGACAATATGTCTGAGGTAAATTTTTATGCCTTCTCTCTGTAAGTTGGAAACGTTTTTTAGTTTTTATTTGGTGACTCCCATGTCTTGATTACATAGTTTAGGAAACTTTGCTAATTTATTTCACTGAATGGCCTTAGAGAAAAAGTTCATAGTTTCTTCCTTTTTTTTTTTTTTGGATGACGTGTAAGGCTCTCTCCTGAAAGGGGTTTCCATTTGTCTTTCTTCCCCTCAATACATATGGAAAAGCCCATACCCACATAATAATTTGGCTGATTGGAATGGTCTTTGGCCTCAGCTAGTCTCTGGGTAGCCCAAATTCAGGTTTAGCTTTTTAGTCTAGTGTTGCTTTGGTGGTGTAATGGTTAGGAAGGTTGGGGGAATATTTTCCATGATCATGTCTTTCCAACTAAAGAAACCTAACAATCAACTGCACTTTGCCTTGTAATTAACTCAAAAATAAAAAATCATTTGATGCAGGATAGTGACACGGAACTGTGCTGTATCTGCTTTGACCAAATGTGCACAATTGAGGTCAGAGACTGTGGCCACCAGATGTGTGCACATTGCACCTTAGCTCTTTGCTGCCACAACAAGCCCAATCCCACCACTTCATCCTTGTCCGCCCCAGTCTGCCCATTTTGCCGCAGCAGCATTTCCCAATTGGTGGTTGCCAGGGTCAAGGTGGAGAGTGACACAGACAAGGAGATGAGTCCTTCAAAACTAAGGAGGTTGAGGAGGTCCAGAAACTTGAGTGAAGGCAGTAGCAGCTTCAAGGGCTCGTCAGCTGTGGGTTCATTTGGGAAGGTGGGTGGCCGCAGTTCAGGGAGGGTTGCCACCGAAAGCACTGGTTGGGTCGATAAACCTTGATGGGTGGTGGCACAGGCATTTTGGTACATATAAAATTATACACTCCATTGGGCATTCCAAAGGCAAAGGGGGATCCAAAATAAGTAAAAAGGTCTTTCAGGCATGGTTTGGTAGCTTTGTTTACGTGGATCTTAATGTTGTAAATTGTAATCCCTGTTGCTTCCTTCTTTGGATTGAAGAAGCGGTAGTCCTTCTGAAGCCTATTCCCTGAATAGAAGAAGAAGAAGAAGAAGAAGAAGAAGAAGAAGAAGAAGAAGAAAAGATTTTCCTTTTGTTTTCTTTTAGGGAAATTTATCACCATCTGCAGTGGATGTTACCTTCAATTTTTCTTTAGTTTGAAAATAGAAAAGAATGGGGGGAATTGGATGTAATATTGTTATAATAAGTCGCAGAGTAACGTCTGTATGGCTGTTGTTTGTCATGTGATCATGTCTTTAAAATTTGTTGGTTTACCTCTTTTTTTCAGAATTCAGATAATCCTGATGATTCTTTCAGGCCTTAAAACCCCACCTTCAGGCCACCCAAAAAGAGATATTTTATATAGAAAATAAAAACAAAATGAAAGATGGGGCCCTTTAACATTTAAGTCAGAGAGTATGGCCCGGCCAACGCATTGGATCTGATCAAGTTTTGGCATATAAAAATAGGTGCACGTGAGATGCACAAATGGGACTGTGGCCTGTGGGTGCCTGATTTGTTATAACTTATAAATTGATACCCTGCCTTGGCCCTTGTGGGCCTTGTTTTGGTTGGGCTTGCTGTGTTTTAGTATGGTATTATTGGACGGACAAAGCCACAAGGGTCATTATTGACGGTATGCAGCCCTTCTCTGCATCCTTTTCCTCCCCTCCCTGACGGGTTAATTTTGACTGTTGGGGCCCAACAACAGAGGCTGTGGAGACAGCTTCTGGGCTGGGCACGTTATAGGCAGTTCATCTATTCACGCCCATGGTTTAGTTTTTAATAAAAATAAATTAAGATATAATTATTAATTCATCCATTCTCAGGGTAACGTGACATTCCCAGAAACTGTCTCAATAGCATAGGTTATTTGCCCCCAGTAGCTAAAGTTTTTTTCTCTCTGACGGTGAGTCGGTGTGACCCAATAACTAACCGTTATTAACGTTTTTTATAAAAAAAAAAAAAAAAAAAAAATTAAGGGGGCTACTCGGGTAGTCGGATCCTACTCCCTCCTCCCACATGGCCATTTTACGATAGCAACACACAACGTGGACCAACGACGTGAGAATGTACGAACAATCAGGATTCCCGATTACTATTTGGAATTTGGAAGACAACGAGGGTGGGTAATCCAGCTTTGGATCTTTCCATTGGGACAGCAACGTTGAGACGAGATGGTGACTTGGGTAGAGCTGTGGCTGACAGTTTGTCACAGGACTCGGGAGTGAAGAGTCGTTTTGAGTGTTTCCCTTTTCTTTTTTCTGGCAAAGTAAAACAGTGAATGAGAAGAACCAATATGAACCCATCAAGGGTGGGAAAATAGCCACGAAAAGTGATGATGGATCACTCACTGTCTGCTTGACTAATCTATTAAGTATGTTCAAATCACTGTGTATTAAGCTGATTCATGGAAGATCACCCGAACCCAAATATCCAATGAGGAAATTACTGATATGCACATGCGGAAATGAGAAAGAGAAACTCTGATCATTTAATTAATATTGTTAATTAACGGTGGCCAGTGGCAGTGGGCATAAGTATAAGCTAAGCATAAGCAGGATGCCAATGATTTAATAGATGATAGATGGGTTGTTGTTTCATTTGAATTGTAGATTTTAGACCCCTTGCAGTTCCTTCTCTAATGCGTTTACGTAAAAGCTGTTAAGTGAGACCCGCCAGCCAATTGCTGACTACTAGTGAGAGAGTGAGAGCGACAAACTGCTGAATGCTGCTGATGCCTGATTATTATTTGTTTAAAAAAGTCTTATAGATGGACCATCAATAATTGACAATTGTGTTCTCGCCAAGTTATCGTTTACGAAAGCTACAAGGGAATCGCCTTTGTTTTATTTCATCAAATTTGTCTGCATCTCCGCTTTCCATTTCCATTGCTTAATCATTCATTCATTCAATACTTACTGGGACACAGGAATTCATTCCCATTTCCAACGTTTCACTTTCTTTGATGCATTCCCCCCATTACTCATTACTCTTGAAGGTTACGACTTTGCGACTTACGAGGGGTGTCGCCTTCTGGCCTTCTGGGTGTTGTATAAGGTATTCTGATTCCTTTCCTTCTCCATCAAAGATCAAACACTACTCAAGTTTCTCTGTTGCAACAACCAACAACCATTGCCTTAAAATCTTTGTTAATAATACTCTCAAAAACAACTTTGAGTTTGATCCCATCAATGATCAAACCAAACACACAAAACTTGAGTTGAGGCATATCCATTCTTGCTTTTGGGGACACTGATGGATGTGGGCAGGGTTTAGGCCTTCGGGCTAACTCAATAATTTGCCATATCTCACACTTTTCGAGAATCAGCACCGTCCATTAAATGGGGTCCCAACTCCAAACTCCAATAATCGTGGGCTCTACTATCAATTAGTTTAAGCAGATGATGATCACTTTTTACAATCTGATTTTGGACGATGTAATTGTGTGTTAGTAACATTAATAATGGGTTACAATCTGACCTCATTTGTTGTGGACCCCACATTATACGTTTTATTTGTTCCCTGATGCATTCGTTCCTGATAGTTTCTCTTTTGATATATCGCATTTTTTTTAATCCATTATAGTCTCTGTCTTTTTCCTGGAAATTTTCCATGAATATTGGAAAAAAAATTAAGAATTGATTTTTAAATGCAGTACATTAGAAATTATCTATAATCTCCCATGCTTTTATGAATCGTAACAAAAGTTGTGCACTTGACATCATCTTGCCCTACTTGACATCATTTCTTTTCATCTAATTTTAGTTTTGACGGGACAGAAATACTCTCTCTCTCTCTCTCGGAAAAATGAAAACGTGTTTTTTCTTGGCCTTGAGGATCATATCTATGCACTGGTTGGTTCAAGAGGGTTAGTTCGTTCATGTTTTTCTTTAAATTTATGACCCTTCTTTTTCCTCGCACAATTTACAAAGCCTTGATCTATTAGGGTAGCCTCTACTATTATTAGGTCCTTCATAATCCTTTGGGTTTCTGTCAATGGTTTGAGCTTCGACCTCTTTAATTTGGATTGATACCATCAATAATAGTACTTTAGATCTTTGATGTAGTATGGGATTCAGACTAGCTGAATAAATATTAATAAAGTTAGTTTTTAAAAGACCTATCTTAGAATATATAAGAGGAGGATGCATCATGAAGTAAGCTAATAAGTTTCATGCAAGTTAGGACCACTACAAGACATGTACGAAGCAGAGATAACACCACCAACCCAATTTAGTAAATATTTACCGAGATAGCATAGTCACAGTATTTGTATCTTAGTTCGTGTTTACCAAATTAGTACCAATTTCTATCTTATTTCATAATTACCAAGTTAGTGCTATAGCGAGATTTTCAAATTTATACTTAATTAGGACTTTCTTTTTTGAAGAGATTTAGTAGGATTATATTATGGAGTGTATTTTTAGATTATGATTGCTCAATTGGAACATTTTTTTAAGATTTATTAGGATTCTATTATGGAGTCTTCTCATAGATTAGGGAATTCTTTTGATATTGAATTTTCTCTTAGGCCCCATTCGTTTGTAACAGTGCAGCTTACTTTGGGTAAGTGCACTTATCCATGCTCTTTTGATTTTTAGGATTCCTAGATAAATAATAAAATGACATTTCTACCCACAAAAAATAAATATTAAAATGGGTAAAATGGTCTTATCATGTTTGTAAAAATTTATCCTAGTTGGGAAATATTACTTACCCACCTGGGAGATGGGTAAGTTTTACCCACGAAAGTAAGGGTAACTTTATTACGAAGCTCATTGCTTAATGCAAAAAGAATATAGGAAAGTTGGTCAATGGGAAAAACCTACAAACGAGCGGGGCCTTAATTATTTAGTGAAGAATTATTCTTCATAATAATTCGACTTCTACTCTTTTCTTTGAAGTTTTTCTCAACGTGGTTTGTTTTCGTACTACGCCAATTGGTATCAGAGCTCATGTTTGATACTTTGTCGGATTATGAGTCCTAAGAAGAAACAAGTAGCTCACATCATGGAGCAGGAACCTAACAAGTCGAGGCAGTTTCTCAGGAGTTGAAATCGCTGAGAGATGACAACGACTCCAATGCAAGTGCTTTTGCTCGTTCTTTTTCATCATCAAGGCAAGTATCCAAGTCGACTGTAGTTGCGGGTGGTGACCAGATACAGTGGGAAACGGGTTTCAATATTGAGATCCCAAAGTTTCATGGAGGTTTCTCTACTTAGCAAGCAACCAAACTAGCTATAATTGCAAGTGGTGAACAAAGGCGATGGGAAACAGATCTCAAGTTTGAATGCCTAGAGTTTAATGGAAGTATAGCCTCAAATGAATTCATGGATTGGAGTTCCATGGAGGAGTTAGCAATTTCAGAGCCTGAAGGTAAAATCAAATCTTATGACTTTGTTGATTGTTTTAATATTGTTGAGGATTTTAACGAAAATCTTGTGTGACCATTCTCCTCAACAACATCTATTGAAAAAAAAAAACTTGTTAATTGGAACAAACCTCCAATCTATGATGAATAACCCATTGCTCAAGAAGAATATGTTATCATTCATCGTGATTTTCAAGAGGATGGAGACAATATTTATCGTATTAGAGGTTTTGATAGTATTGCTTCCATACAAGTCTACAAGGATCCATATTGGCAAGCATTTTTCCAAAATTCAAAATGGTCAATGAAGGGAGAATTAAATTATTTGAAGATCAAGAAATGTGTTTCAAAAGTTAAGAGATGTAAAAAAGACATTCCAACTCGTATTGAAGAGTTACACTATTAGCTATATATCAGAAAGTTGGAAATAGAGAAGCACAACAGTAGCACAATACAAAATGTTGGAGGACACTCACATGGTAGTATGAATTCAAGGATGGATTTTCTCCAACCCGGGAGGATGATGCAGTACGGGATTCAGACCAACTGAGTAAACATTTACAAAGTTAATTTTCAAAAACCCATCTTAGTACATATAGGAGGAGGATGCAGCATAGAAGGAAGCTAAGAAGTTCCATGCAAGTTAGAACCACTACAAGACATGTACGAAGTAGAGATGATGCCATTGACCCAACTTAGTAAATATTTACCGAGATAGTATCATCACAGTATTTCTATCTTAGTTCATGTTTACCAAATTAGTGCTAATTTCTATCTTATTTTGTAATTACGAAGTTAGTGCTATAACGATATTTTCAATTTTATATTTAATTAGGACTTTTTTTTGAAGATATTTAGTAGGATTATATTATGGAATGTTTTCTTAAATTAGGATTGCTCAATTAG